TAATATGATAATTTTAAAAAATGACCTTAAGGCTGTTAGGAAAATAGGATCTAGTCCCATGTAAGTGGTTTTGGACCAAGTAAAGGTCATGAGCCTTGATATTTTATTTTACACAGAGCCCTAGCTACTTATTAAAAAAGAGGTGGAGTTGTTTTAGGTGTGTGTCGAAAACCAAACAGAAAAAAAAGAAAAGTCAGGAAAAGCAGAGAGAGAAAAAAGAGAAGAGAGAGTTGGTTAAACGGAAGTCGATCCGTTGTCCGATTGAGTTAGAACCTTGTCAGGAGGTTTATGATTCAGAGTTTTACATTCTGAACGGTGAAGATCGGGTTTGAAGCTCTCTAGAACAAATTCAGGGTATTTTTGAGTCACTTATTTGATGTGATTTCTAATTGTTTCTCTAGTTGTTGATTAGCTCTAGTTTTAGCTAGAGAAAAACTTTGTATAACTATTATTTGATAGTGAATATTTTTTGGTGGCCCGTATTTTTTTTCTACACTGGAAGGTTTTTCACGTAAATCTTGGTGTGCTTTATTTTTCTTGCGTATTTAATTATTGATTGTTGTCTATTACTTTTGTATTGTTGTGATTATTGCTTCAGGCGTAACAAAGTCATCAATTGACAAAACCTTATAAGTAATAGGCAAATGGAAATTTTAATATTAACAATGTAAGAAGACTGAAACCCAACATTGTAATCCGAATTTAGAACATCAATTAATGATAATTTGCATATCTTTTTTAATTTGCATTGCACATGCAATATGTCATGTGAAAAGGCTTGCAACAGTTTTTTTGCAGTCAAATTGTCAACCTAATTAATTGTATCAATTTCTAACATTAAATACAAACAAAAAGATATTGTTATTCTTATAATCAAATCATATAAATAATGATTTTAAGAAGAAAAATGTTAATCAATGTCTGATGATACTATTAAGATGATATTTAAAAAAAATATCGATCTGTAATCTGATATAAAGACGAAGAGTATTATACTCGTATCTATAATGATTCTTATTATCTTGATACAAATATAATAAGAATTTACCAATTATTAATTTATTATAAGTTGGATATTCATCTTATAATTAGGATGACAATTTCTTTTATCACAATCTAACGTAAAATTGAGAAGATTCTAAATGCAAAAATATAAAAATTTGCTCCACTATTATATATATTTTACATGCAATTGCACAAAAGAATATTGAAATTGGAATAATTGTCAAAGTGATTAACTTCACCAGAAACCACAAATTTGGAAGGCAGAAAAGAGAAAGCATTTAACAATAATGAGAAAGCTCTTGCAATGCTTAACTTAATATAGTGGGAGATAAGATGGATTATGTATGATATTATTGTCCCAAAGGATGGTGGATGGATGGGAATGGTTGCCAAATATGGAGCCCTAGTTTAAAATTCCTATGCTATATATAATAAGCTACTACTTCTGTTTCTTTATCTTGGTGGGAATTTTCAACCCTTTGCTTTGTGGGTACGAAAGAATTTTAGGGATGGAAAAAGATGAGAAATAGGACCAAAGATTTGGGGACCCACGTCTACGAACATATATAGATGACAGCTTTAGCCCACCTCGTCCCCCATAGCGTTTCCTGGTGCCTGCCCCAAAGTAAAAGGTTTTCCCTTTGGTATTTCTCTCTTTTGATCCTCCCTTAGCTATTTGTGGTGATCATTATCATCATCATCTTTCTTCCTGCTAACTGTTATTAAATTCGTCTTTAACCTTGGTTGCTATTTACAGGAAAAAGGATATCAAGAATGCAAGCTTGAAACAATAAGATTTTATTTGCAAGACGAATAAATTTATAATTTGTTGATAGAATATTGAATTTCAAATTTCAGTTATTATAATTCAAATTTTAATAACTTTAATTACTCAAAAACATGAATTCAAAGAATGTAGATTGATCAGAATTAACAATTATGAAGCTGATTTAGTATCTTATTTTTTTCGAATTGATCAATGATCTATATCTAATTCTTAGGCCAATAATTTCATATTATTAGCTTCATCTTCTGCCGCAGCCAGTGGCTGGTGTTTCTGGGGCTGAATAAGAGCTAAGAACTAAGAAGGGTTCTGTCACAAGTGTTGCCTTTTTAAACTTATTAGGCAAAATTTCAATTCTGAATTTCGTGACCCTTTTTTTTGCTCTTTATAATTTCAGTTTCTTTTGCCTTTTTTTTCCAGAGGAAATTGCCAATTTGGTGCATGTTTGAGTTCAATAAAAAAAGTCAATGAACACAGTTTACGGTATTGAATTGGATTTCAAAGCTTTTTGTAAGCAACACAGACAAAAAGGTTTTTTGTGAGTTTTTGAAAACAAACCTGCCACACACAATCCCTTCCCAATGTAATTGTGAGAAGACATAGCTTTCCCTGTGTCAATGAAATAGAGCCATGGATCCAGGTCATTTCCATTTTGGACTAAAAATGGCACATCAATGCAAATTATATAGGTGGGGTCTCACCCATATCATTATTGTTAATCAAAGCCAATTATATCTCTTGTTTTTCCCATCTATCTTTCCTAATTATTCTTTTTTAAGTTTTTTTTTTTTTTACTCAAAATTTCTTAATTTGATTTGAATGAATCTGATATTGACTACAATAATTGAACTGCCTATTGATAATATTAACATCATAATTATGATTTTAACACCGCTCTTTACTTTAGGTGCAAAAGTGATAAAGTGAAACATTGATATTTGATGTTCACATTGAAAGATCATAATCATAATGAGAAATCATCATTAAAAAAAACAAAAACTAGTACCAATAGTTTTTTAATGGTTAATGAAACTAATTATCCTTGGTCTTTATATTCCAAACATGCCAAAAGAAAGGACAAATCAAGGATTGAAAGAAAGGAATACAATCAAGCTAGCAAATGTTGATGAAAAAGTACATACATTATTAAATATTTCCATACTTTGGCGATTTGGTTGTTGGGGGACTGAATATGAGATTGAAAACATTATTCTTCTTCTGGGTAATGTAACAGACAGCTACTGCATCACCCATTGGGCACTTCTACAGATCCTTAAACTTTGTTTCACTCATATTAATATTAGTTCTATAAAAAATTCTTGCATGAGAGAACCAAATTAGACTCAAAACAAGAACTTTAAGATCATCTTTGGGCCAATAGTCTTCTTAAGTGGCCCAAACCACCAATAGATATCTGCAGATCAGAAGTCTTCAATCCCATTTTCTACTTGATTAAAGTGATTATGACCGTGCTGGAGTGTTGCTTTGACACTAAACCATTTTAGCTCTCCCTATGGAAAGGTCATGCTTTTGCCATCACCTGCTTTGGGATCCTTTTCACTTGGAATTTGGCCTTGGATTGGTAGAGTACTTCACTCTTTATCAATAAAAAAAAATGAAACGATTTCTTATCCATAACCGATGAATTGTAATGCTTTTGCCATCAGCTACCCTGCAAATGTCACATTATCTACCATGAGAATGAGGTAAACTAGCTAGTATATCAACAAAACCAACAAAAAAATAAAGGACGAAGAAAATGTAGAAGATAAAAAGGAGCATGACTATTAATGAATGGATCCATGGAACAAAAAGTGGTCCACTCTTACCGTCTAACATTTCCAAGAATCCAAGCTTGTCCCGTTTACAATGTCTTGAAGGGGCATGCCCTCATCACTGTAACCAGTTCGTTTGTTGTTTTGTATGTGGAGGTTATATAAGTTAGTGGGTTTTGTCAACCAAATGCCAGACTCTGGGATTCTTTAGACACTTTTAGATGCATGTTAATTTTGGTTGGCTCATCATTCACACGCTTCCCCTTTGAATTTCTCTCACTTGATCAGTACAAACTAACCACTTTCTCGGGTTTCTGATATTATTAGGTTTACCAGCTTTCCAATAATTTTCTTAGGTCCTTGGCTGCAATGGATGAGCTGACTAAGCTGAAATATCAGATTCAAGATTTGTATATTCCTCTTCTCCTTGCAATCGAGTTAAACCCAAAGTAGCAACATTCTTTTCCAAATTGGTTCAGGCAAAGCCATAAAAAATGTCTAGTCCGTAGGCAGCCTAGTCCATGAGTCAGCCGACTCTGTTATGCCATAGACATCTTTTGGGCCTAGATACAAAGTAGGCTAAGATTTTATTTGTTTTTACTGTTGACAATTGATTGAAATCTGAAAAGATATTGGGCTTTCTTGCAGTCTAGTCAAATGGATAGGCCAGAGTCAGGCATACCAGAAGCAGCACTATAACAACCATTACTCAAATCAAAACCCCATCACAATTACCGACCAACTTTGAACAATTGAATTTCTATGAATTGAAATTAATAAAAAAAGGAAAGATTAGAGAAGCCTGACACTGATTCCATTGTGAAAAGACACCATCTTTGGATATTAACTCATTCCATTGAATATACTATCCTCAAGGAAGTGATAATGCTCCACTACGGAGTCTGGTCGTTCTACAATTCCTTTTATTCCTATTCCTATACGATTCCTTCCAACCACCCTCTTTTAATTTTAGGGTCCTTGAGAAGCAACATGATTAGGACTTCCACCATCTTCTTGCAGCTTTTGCAGCACAAAGTCAAAATCTTCACATGTTTTTGTGTTTTAGAATAACTTTACAAGTACTAAGCTTGTCATTTTCAACAAAGATCGTCTTTTTTTTTTACACCGTGGGTCGATATTAAGCAAGATTTTAAGCAAAGGTGCTCACCTCTAGGGCATCTCTGGACGGTCCCTCACAGGCAAAATTCTGCAAAGTGCCAACCACCGAAACAACTGGGGTTTCTTTTATTGGTTTTAGGGAGGATTTTGAGTAAAGTATGGCTGACAATGTGGTAGGGGTCAGCCATAGCTGACACAAGTCATTTCTTTATCCCTGGTTCATGTGTGGCTTTTACTTGGGAGAGGAGGCAAGAAGGGAAAGGACAATTGGAGTTTGTGGTTTAGAGCAAATAATCAAGTCAAAGGTCCATCCATCATTGGCTTGGCCATTATTGGCTGATCAGTAAACTTTGAAGCTGTTGGCTAGCTACCAACAGAATTATGAACCTACAAGAATATTAATCAAACTTACTGGCTTAAAAAATTTTAAAAATGAACTAGATTGTCAAATACTGCTCGACAATACTGCTGGTTTGATATTAAAATATCTATGACTTAAAATATAACTTTTTAATTGTAGTTGGAAAATTGTTTATTTTGATTTACAATGTCAAATGTTTACATTTTCCCTTGAAAAGACGTAAGAGTTGATCCAAGCAGGTGAAACATAGGCAATGGGGAATCATGGGGAGGGACACTTTCTTTCACGTGGGTTGGTGCCATTATAACTCCCGCAACGCCCACCATGATTGAAAGAAACACTACACTATGAAATGTAATTCTCTACTCAATTATTAAAATTTACAAATTTCAAAAACAACAAACAAGTGAAAGCCATATGGAACTATTATATCTCTACAATTTTTCCTTCATTAGCCAATAAATCACAGAATTTACTGCAGTGATTTTTATATAACAATCACTTCATTTTTTTTTTTTCTCTTTTTCTTTTGTTCTTCTTCTTCGTGAATTTAACTGTCTCAAAGTCTCGACCTTTTATTGACTCCATTCAGATTCGAACCCGGGACGACTCGGCGGGTAACTCACCACCTTTTCTGCCATCTCCATGAATTCTCCGGAGCTTACTTTACACCCCAATTTTAACCAATTACAGACCATTTTTTGAAAGAGGAAAAGAAAAAAAAACCCCACCAACTTACCTTGATATTATGGTAAGTAAAAACCAAAGAATTAGCAACCACCTCTTCCTCCACTCGGCCAACTCACTGTTTTAGAGCGTCTAATTAATTGTTCACTCGAGCAAACTCGGAACTGAGTCAAAAACCCCGGGTAAGAATCAAAGTCTATCCTTTTTCTTTCCACTGTTTCTTTAGTTACCAGACCGTTTTCTCAGTGAAGCCATGAAGTAACGGTCGAGATTCGGTCCACAAATCAAGCTTACCCCTGATTCCCATGTTACAGTTCCCTTTAAAGTCCTCGATGTTCACGAACGTACCGGAGTGACCCGACTCCGACCGGGAAATAAACCGAATCACTTCTTCGAAGACGGACTCGTCGCAGGGGATTGCCAATGGGCCTTGATTAGTGAAGCCGTACTCTTCCTCGGCTTGGATGAGAAGCTTCTTAAAGAGGGGATGGTTCAGGTACGTCGCTCGCACCACGAATCTCTTGCAACTCGTCCCCACGCAGACCGCCACGTGTCCGGCCGGCACATCGGATGGGATGCGGCTGGCCGACAGGAGAGCCTTGTTCCTCCACCGCCGCAGCATCTGCCGAAGCCTCACAATGTGACGGATTTTGCTGCATTTTCCAAGGCCCGCGGACATTTTCCCGGAAAACAAAGAATTCAAAGAGAAAAATTAAGTCTTCGTTTGGTTTGGGCTTTGCTTTGAGAATTGAGAGTTTCCCGATTAAAAAAAATCCACCTTTCGAAAGAAGGGGGATTGAGAGTTTGGGAGGGAGGATGATTTTATAAAAGGCTCCTCAGGAAAGTTCCCTTAAAGTTTAAGATAATTACAAGGCTCTGTCCGCCGTTGATAAAGCAATTAAAGGGCACTAATGTCTTTGACATACTAAATGGATTTAATAATTTTTGTAGCATAAGGTTGGAGCAAATACAAGAAAAGACAAAATTAATGATGCAAATCAAAATCTTTTATCCAAAATTTTCAAATTTTGATTTGAGGAGAAAGATTTCATGTAATCTTCAAAGAAAATTTTTTGCTTTTGATATTTTGAGCACTAGAAATGGTACGTATGAGAATTATAATTAGTAATTACAAAACAAGAGTAATTATTTAACTTTTTTTTAATTTCTAATTAATGTGATTTAAAAATATTTATATATAAAATTTGAATCTTAAATTTATTAAATGTTATATTTTAAAAATGATTACGTATAACAACTAAACTGATCCTCAAATTTTATAATAAAATTAATTTTGAGGTTGAAAAATATAGAATGGTGGCATATGGGACGGAGGTAAGAGTATATAAGAAATTTATTAAGTATAAAATGGAAGGATTACTATTCGAATGGTAATAATTTTGGTGGGGTTGGTAACAACGTTATAACATTTTGAACTTAGTGATGCTATCAAATTGAAAATAAAGGACTGTGGAAAATTTTTGGGGTTGTGGGGCCATGGATGCTGAATATGGTTTACCCTTTTGCTTTCCCTGGTTTTGGAATTTGTTAAGGAATTTATGTGGCTAGACTAGTTTTGATATTCTCCGGCTAATCCTTGTTTGTTTACCTTCGAAATTCTATCAAAATTAAAATTGCAAAACCCATTAAAGGTTAAGATGATCTTGTTTATCTATTCTAATTTAATTTGTCTTTTATGTTATGGACCACCATAACAAAATATTTAAAAAAAAAAAAAACAAACTATAGCAATTTTGATTCACCATTAAAATCAAAGCAAATCTTGCAAAAATTCATTACAATTTTTTTCACCTAGTAATAATTTTAACTCATAAGAAAAAAATGGGCTTTAAGCATATCGAGTATCAACTATAACAATGCTCATAACCAAAATTTGCTTTCCTTGCAAGTTAGCTTACAAGAGAAAGACAAGAAATTAAACTACAAATAATTTCCGGGAAATTAAAGTTGCAAAAACCTTCATGATTATGTCAAAATTTAGAAACAAATTACATAATATGATGTAAACCCCAAAAAAAGGAAAACAAATTAAGGTTTAAGAAGATTTGTTCTTTCTTTAATTTGGATAAAACGACATGTAATTTCTCCTACATCAGGCATCAGCCACAGAGAGAGGGAGAGAGAGCATGCGATAAAAAGGGTTTTCTTTAACGCACGAAGTGGAAAATAAAATGAAGCCTAAGAAACCCCCACCACATGCAAAGTAGGAAAAAGGGTTCTGTCTCTACAAGTTGTTGAGTGAACTGAAGATGCTTGTTGCTTCCTAAAACATGAATAAAAAATCCAGCTTTCCCTGAAGCAAGGATTTTGTATTCTCCACAACTGACTATGCCCCATGTGCAGGGATTCCTCATCTCTCCCTTTGTTTAATTTCCCAAAACAAACTGCTAAAATATCCCTCTCCCCTCCTAATCACTCATTGAACCCAGTCAAACCCTATTTCTCTTCTAATTATCAACATAAAGCCTTTTTAAAGTGACTATCAAAGATCAATGATTTTCATATTTTGCTGCCTAATATAATAAAACGATTTGTCAAGTCAGTATTCCAAAAAAAAAAAAAAAGTAAAAAAAAAAATGTAAGCTTAGCTCCCCTTCAAGATGTGCCTATTGGATCCATATGGCTCCTTGTGCATGTTATGGGAGGGTAGGGTGCATCCCCCAAACTTAATACATTGCATATTAAGAATCTATTTAGGTGGACAGTAAGATTTATTTCAATCAAATTAAAAACAATAATAAAAATTATTATAATTATAATTTAAAAAATTTATGTTAAATGAATTTTATGATAATTGATATTTAGATTCAATTGGTGGTGATCGAAGCTTAGTAGCACTTCATTGAAGTAATTACATCCAAACATAGACTAAGAATAACCCCACTTGCTAGGATTTAAGGATCATATAATTTATTTTGTTGTTTACAAATGTCTTCGAACTTGTAACCAAAAACATTGTATAGAAAGTATTAAGAAAATAATGAAAAAAAAAAAGGATTGGGCAAAATAATATATTCTTTATTATAGGCATAGATAACACCACATATATGTTTCTCTTTTTTAGTAGAATATGTTGAATCGTAATGTTGTATATATGAAAAGATTCTTGCTTTGGGGGTGATGGAACAAACTGAGGATTTCGGGGGAGCAAACAAAAGAAAATGGATTGAAAAGGTATTAGACAAAGGCACGAAAGTCAGTTAATTAACTTTTCAAGGTGGAATGAATGCGTGTGTTGTTCTGTTCTTTACATTTTTAGTTACAACACAAAATACTTTGTCTTCTAAGTTGTCTGTTTTGTTTTAGGATTGAGGAATCTCCTTTATACATCCTTCCACTCTCATCCATTAAACTTTTGTTTAAGGTTTGGATTAAGGCCGATAGTTTTTGCTGTTTCCAGAAAGCAATTACTAAAGTTTTAATCTAACTTATAACCAGTACCATACTATAAATTTAATATTTTAAAATATAATATAATTATACGATACGAACATGATATGAATATAAAATTAAAAGATAATATGATTTAAAATTTTAATAAAATAATTTTTTTTTATATTTTTATAATAACACAAATTTTAATATATAATTTAAATACAAAACACAGCATAAATATACAAATCCTAAGATCTAAATCCTAGCTAGGATGGGAATTTAGGACAATGTCTTTACAATGTTTTATTAGGACTTTTAATTTTTTATGTTTCAGCCACTTTTGGCGTATGCAAAACTCCCTCGAGAGTTTGCCACGTTGAGACTGCAATTCTGTCAAAATTCTAACAACAAAAATTTTTTTTGTCTCTGTTCTTTTGATTCTTTGTTTTTATTATAGCGATGATTAAGAAATTAATAATAATAATAATAATAATAATAATAATAATAATAATAATAATAATAATAATGCAAACGTGAGGGTGTCTTAGCAGTACTACCTCCAGTCCAGAATCCGCTCGGACAATTTGTATTAGGTTAGAACATTGAACAATTCCACGTCACAACTTTGGCTTAGTGTGTTAAGATTGTACTAATACTATTTTTTTTCACTAATCCAAAATTCTTACGTGGAGTTGTACACAAATGACAAAATGTCTAATATACCTAAACACCTATTTTTTAGATGGAGTTGTTTTTTTTTTCTTTTTTTTAAAGAGTTCACAATTTGAAAATTAAAAAATATATAAATATAAATATTTAAAATTTATATTTATTAAATATTAAGAGAATAATTATATAAATTAATTATTTTTTTTTGTTTTATAGTTATAGTAGCTTTAACTATAAATCAATTGCAATATCTATTAATTTTCTCTAATCAGATTGATTTCGGATCACTGAAAGGATTAAATAAAAATAAAAGCAAGTAGAGTTTGGAATATGGATTAACACAATGCATAGCTGTATCCAATTGGAGCTAAAGAAGCAAACAATTCAACCCATTGATTCCGTACGAACCATCTATTTGAACTGAAAGAATCTGTGAACCAAGTTTGGAAGCATTGAAAGATTAATGAACTTCATTGTTTGGTATAGCAATTGGTAAACTATTTAAAAGAAGCACCTATGAAATTTCGTTGTTGGTCAGAACCAAATGTAATTGTTTACAAAGACAAGCTTATTATAATAAAATCAATAGAGTCTGAACAGTCTGTTTGCAAACTGATTTTTTTTATTAGTATAAAATTAATTAATTTACACTAGTCAGCAATTTTAAGAAAGAACAAAATGGAGTAATTTAATATTTTTCATTGGCATCTAAACAGCCATTGATTTTTTGAAATTATAAATTGATCAATAATTAAAACTCATGCTTAAATAATAATATCTTTGTCCATGTTTGAGCCACAACTATAGCTATCAAAACAACAAACCCTAAATAGCAATTATTTAAGTTCGATTGTCAAGCCAAACACTACTTCAATCTCCATTCGGATCAAAAAGAGAATATCACTAGACATATAAATATTAGCACCATATATTCAAATAAATCGATTTTATAAAGAAAAGATAAAATTACGTGATAAGTTATATCAGAGTTAACCCTTAACTCATTTTATTTCACGCCAAATACCCCAAGGAAGGTAGGCAAAGTGATTAACTAACCTGATCATTTAATAAGATGCTAAGATAAAACATGGTAATAAAGTCTGACCATGCTAAACACTTTAAAATAGAGTGTCCCTTGCCTCATGAAACTGGATGGAAGAAAATGTTATGTCAAATGATCCAAAGAATAGCTAAAATATTTTAATCTCATATCGAATAAAAAAAAATCATTGGACATAAAAATATGATATTACATAATCCAATAAATTGATTTTCCGGGAAGATGATAGTGGCCATATGACATAATACCATAGTTAAAAAAAACCAATTTCCATATACTTGTGAAGTTTTTAAACTTTTGGTCAAATTTATATTAATCTAAACACAATGTTTAAGTTATTAATGAAGTTAAGAAAGTGTGTTAATGTATGTCACCCTGAAGTGGACCTTTCTATAGATTATCACAAAACCAAGCTTTTTATACCCACAAACATTCCCAGAGTCATTTTCACTAATATTGATGAAAATTATTTTGGGTTGCCAAAAGTTGATGAAAATCCTACAAATAATGAAACTATTTTCTCCAATGACTTATTAGTTAGCTGATATTAGAATCAATTTCAAAATAAAAAAATTAAAATTAAAATCTCAATCGTAACTCAAAAATTAAAAAAAAAAAAAAA